CCCCAATGTGGTCTTCTCATCCAGATGTCTTATGATGCATTTGCAATGGGTCTGAATTCTCAGAATCTTCCTTCTCAAGCAGAAATCTGGAAAGCACACTTAGCTCCTGTCTTTCTATTTCATTTTGATTCTACATCTGATAGTTCCCTTTCAGCTGTTTTATGCATCTCACCCCTGTTGGCATTACCCTAGAACTGAATTAGTCACTTTTAGCATCAGTTCTAGTAATATGTTTTCAAATAGCCTCCCTGCTATTAGTTTCCTTTCCTCTCAATGAAGCCTCTACACTGCCATCAGCGCCTCAGATCTGTCACCATCATGTCTTTGTCTTGACCAAGCCACTGATGATCCCCATTGCCCATCAGATGGAGACCACACTCCTTGGCATGCTATACAAAGTCTTTAATAACCTGCTTCCTGTCTACTTTCCAGGGTCACCTTAAGCTTCTTCTTCACTCTTCTCCACTGTATATGCCAACCATGACAGATTTTTACTGTCATGTTAATATAGCATGCCGTGCTTTTTAAATGTACCTTCTTTTTCCTGGAAAGTTATCAATTTTCCTTACCTGCAAGTTTCCTCATATCATCCCACATTCAACTTAATGGCATCTCCTATCTTTAGCTTCTCTGGAACTTCCAGTCTATTTCAGCACCCGATAGAAACAGTACTTGCTCCTGTAATTATGTTCCCTTAACACTTTGTATGCTTCCGCATTATAGTCACTGACGCATTATTTTGAAGTATTGATGATGTGCCTGTCTCTTCTATTGCTCTAGCTGTTCTTCCAGAAAAGGAACCATGCCTTTGTCCCCAGTACTTCCTTAGCAAATCCACCCATTTGTTTACTTATTAAGCATCTACTATGAGATGATGGATAAGACAGGGGTCAGTAAGCCAGATATGGTTCCCGTCATCTAATCTAGAACTTAGATTCTAAAAGTGGAAATGAATAGACTTCTAGAAGATGATGGTGGTTTGAACTAGACTGATACTGGTGGATATGAGATACTCAGAAAGTAAAATAGAAATTCCTTATGGATTCGGTATGAGGAAGAGCAAAGAATCAAGGATTACCTTCAGATGACTGGCTTAAGAGCTGGTTAGATCTTGAGCTGCATTAATAAAAAATTAGAGAATAAAACTGATACAAGATCAACTCCTTATTCTCTATGATTCTTGGAACTAGAGGACTGAGTTAATTTATAATGTACAGACAAATTTGACTGTGCTCAGAACTAAAGTAAATGTTCAGCAAAATGTGTAAATTGTTTTAGTAGAAATATAAGCATATGAACACATGGTAAAACCACATCATGTTGTTGTTAAAAGCTAAAGACAGAAAAAGCATTACTAAGATTGTTACCTACTAAATGTATTTAGATAATGTTCTCTTAAATTACAATTACATATAGAGTCATGTGTCACTTAATGACAAGGATACATTCTAAGAAATTAATCATTAGGCCATTTCATCACTGTGTGAACACTACAGAGTATACTTACTGTGCCTAGATGGTCTAGCCCACCACATCCCTAGACTCTGTGGTATATAGCCTATGGCTCCTAGGCTACAAACCTGTACAGCATGTTCCTGTCCTGAAGACAATCAATAATTGTAATATGACTGTAAGTATTTGTATCTGAACATATCTAAACACAGAGAAGGTAACACATAGTGCTACAATGTCAGGATGACAAAGACTAGGTGATAGGAATTTTCAGTTCCATTATAATCTTATGGGACCACCATTATATATGAGGTCCATCACTGACCTCAGCATCGTTACTTGGTGAATGATTATACATAAGGAGAAGTTTAGTCATGAGAGTTAGTTTGATTCCTTGTCAAGAACATTATTTTAAAATGTTATTGTTCATTACTTTTTAAATTCAAATTAGTAGATGTTCACTGCATGTTTCTGCTACTTTCACAAATTAAACATTTTATGCTGTTGGTATCATATTTAACTACTAAAACTTGGGCGTAAATTATTCCAATTTTACGTCAAAGAGGAGAATTTGCTGACATTATGATATTTTAGGATTTTTTTTTCTTTTAGGAAAATGGTAAAATTGGAAAAATATTTACTTAGAATTCAGCTGGCTGAATCTCATAAAGTAAAAAGTAGATTACCAGGACTGACCCATTAAAATTTGTTTTTCAACCATAATTCAAAAGAAAACATACAGGGAATTTGATGTTTAAATATGTACAATTCTACAAAAACATGATTTAATTTTTCTTAAAAAGGCCTTTTAGCTACATTCTAACAAGAAACTTAGAGATTTACTGTCAGATGAAATTGTTTCTGTAGCAGTATGTTTCATTAAAGATGATAGTAGTGAAAATGTAACAATTTAATATTACTAAGTAGCATATTATCAGAAGATTATATACTTAAATTTATGACACTATATGTTAACATACTGTGCTAATTTATTTTAACATTTTTAAACAGTGACATTTTGGGATTTTTGTAAAAGAATATATAACCTCAAATTGAGTGTGAAAAAATTACACATATTATAACTATATCTATTTTGGATTTAGAATTGGATTTTATATATTATAAAGTCCTGAATTTCATCAAACCTAGCTTGGTTAGTTAAGATCATTTTGCTGCTACATGACTTTATTAGTAGGACCTAAAGATTCTAAGGTCAAGCAAATTGATTGAACTATAAATTTATCATTTTCATGAGATTAATATTTGATATGGCTAACACAGTGATTTTATGCTACCCTTGATTGATAGTATAATGACATAGGAACCAGATTTCTGAAGTCTGAAAAATGGCTTTGTTACTGGTGACTTTGGTTAAAAAAAAAAACTTAACTTCTATAGTGACTTGATTTTCTTATATGTCAAATAGGCTTTATCACAGTTCCTGCTCAGCCTGGCACGATGGCTCACTTCTGTAATCCCAGCAATTGGGAGACCGAGGTGGGAGGATTGCTTGAGCCCAGGAGTTTGAGAACAGCCTGGGCAACATAAAGAGACCTCGTCTCTATAAAAAAATTAAAAATCTAACTAGGCATGGTGGCATGTGCCTGTAGGCCCAGCTACTCAGGAGGCTGAAGTGAAAGGATCACCTGGGACCAGAGTTTGCTGTGAGCCATAATTGTGTCACTGCACTCCGGTATGGGCAACAGAGTGAGACCCCGACTCAAAAGAAAAAGAAAGTTCCTGCTTATAGATTTGTGACAAGAATTAAATGAGGCAGCTCATTATATATTATATATAAGATATAAAAATGATTAAATAAATTATCCTTAATTTTATACTGATTTGTTTTTACTATGCACTTGAAAATTAAAACAAACAACAAAAAAGCATATTTAAAATACATTAGAAGTAATAACACTGCTCATTTTATGGAAAGATCCAAATTTTCTCTAAATTAAAAGGTGTTATTTATTTTCTTCATTCATTTATTCTTATTGGTAACACTAGTAGGCATTGGGAACCAAATTGCTGTCCTTGTGGGGTTTACATTTAGCAGGCAATCAAATGTTGTGAGCTGAAGCCCGGGAGAGGTCAGAGATAGAGAAGTAGATTTAAGCATCATCCTTCAAAGGGTGAGGAATTGAAACTGCATCTTATTTATTTGTGTCCCCACAACATAGTGTTTGGTCTAGTATTTTCCAAACACTAGACACTCAGTAGATGTTGACAGAGTGTATAGAATTTACCTTTTCTTTCACAACGCAGAGTACTAACCACTATACGATCACGGCACCTTTTCTTTCAAAGGTGTTATTAAGCTGCATTCCTTTCTCTGGCTTTCATCTCTTTATACTTCTAATTAAAGTGTTCCTGAACCCCATCTCTTTTTCTTTCTATACTAGTTTTATCTTGTTGCATAACAAATTGCCCCACACTTTGCAGTTTAAAACAGCATACATTTATTCTCTCCAAATTTGTGTGTGTTAGGAGTCCATGCTCAGCTCAGCCACATCACCTGCTAAGAGTCGCTCAAGTCTGTAACTAAGGAGTCAGCTGGGCTTCATTCTTTTTTTTTTTTAATGCTTCAAGCACAGCTTTCTTTCTTTTTTTTTTAAATTAATCAATATTTTTTATTATGGTTCTTTTCTGAATCCTCAACTAGAGAAGAATTCACTTTTGAACTCATTTGTATTGTTAGCAAAAACTCATTCCCTGTGACTGTTTGACCAAGGACCTAGCTTCTTACTGGCTGTTGGCTGGAGGTTGCCGTCCACTCCTTAAGGAACCCATAGTTTTCTACCATCAGCCCTCTTCACAGGAGGTTCGCAGCATGGCTGTTTGGTTCTTCAGAAGAGTCTCTCACGCCAGTCAGTGAAGGTGTAGTAACTTAAAGTAATGATTATGGTGTGACACCACCTTTGTCTTATCCTATTGGCTATCCTGTAGCCACATGCAAATCACATCTTCTCACCACACTTTGCCTACACAAAAATGAGAACTCCATGAGATGGGCATTACACTAGGTTGTAGTCACTATACTTTCCATCTGAATTAAGTTCTTATGATACTTCATGTTTACAGCTCCATCTTATTGCACGACTGTGTATCCTTCCATTAGTCATATGGGGGATATGCTTGTCTTGCTTGTCTGTCTCAGCCTCTAGAGTTTTCATGTCAGAGATTGTAAATGGTCATCGCTCTGTGTCTCTGGGTACCTAACATAAAACTTGGCACTTAGTTGGACTCAGTAAACTTTTATTTTTAACAGCTTTGTTGAGGTATCATTCATTGGGGAAATGTTAATAAGTGAATGAAGGTAAACATGGGGATAACATATGGCACATTTTAAGGCACTTCTTGATAATTTTTAAAGGAATAACCTAGTTGATTATATAGTTGAAGTTATGTCGATGCTTTCTTCAAGACAATAATTGGTAAAATGAATGAGAAGATTTAAAATGCCATGATTCCTTCTAGATTTGTGTAACTATGACTTTTTTCATGATACAACTTCATGACATATGATGCTATCTATCCATATTTTTTTTCTTCTAGATGAGCAAGAGATAGTACAAAAACGCACTTTCACAAAATGGATCAACTCTCATCTGTCCAAGGTAAAACAAAACAAAAGTACCTTGAATTATAGATTTACTTAGTTTGAGCCAATAAATTATTAAATGTCAAGTATAAAGGAATGCTGCTGTTCTATATTACTAAACAATTACTAATCACTATATTACTAATCAATGATATCAGCAATCCTATTGGTTGGTTTAACTGTTGCCTAAGTGTGATGAAATCTGGGAAAAAATGAACTAATAGCTAGAGTCAAGGGCAGTCACTCATGTCAATTCTATGGATCTTGAGGAAATATTTCATGCAATCATTTCTTTTATACTAACATGTATATCATATCAAAAGGAGAATTTGTGCTGAATTTTTGTTTATGTGTGTTTATTTGTATTTGGAGCACAAAGAAGCAATGAGTGGTCTGTGCTGAGCAAAGGATTTTATCTGAGAAGTTCATGACTGTGTCCTTGCTTTCTCAGGTGTTTTGATTAAAAGTAGCCATGGTGACAGGACACTAAAAGGCTGAAATCATCCTGAGATTATACACACTGACATTAGGTGGTATTAGGTGATTACGTGTCTGTACATTGTAGTGACTTCAAAATAAATAGTCATATAAAATAAATTTTAATCTTGATACATTATAATAAAATTAATCTCATACTGCTGATGGAATAATATGCAAACCAAGAGGCATCATATTTGTAAAAAATAAGTCCAGATGATAGGACAACTCTCTGGATTTAGTTAGAGGATCATTTTTCTGAGAGCAGAGTTTACAGTATGCGAGGCACAACCCTATGTGCAATTTTTGATCAGGGGTTTCCCAAAGCCTTTTTGATGGTACAGAAATAAGCAGAACGTGGCAATTAATTTCAGTCTCATTCTACAAATCAATGCTTACTTTGTGTCTATGCCAGACTTTGGAGGCGGAAAATAAAAAATTAGTAGACATTTTCATAGGCCTTGAGAAGCTCATGGTTCAGCAATGAAAGAAGTCAAGAGCCATATGTTTATGTACAGGATAAACTGGGATCATCGTTCCTATAATCTCTTTCCAAAAGCCACTTGATGAGAAGGGAATTCTATGTCACAGTGGCTACACTAAAAATCTGCCCTGGAATACAGCAGTTGATGCAGGAGGCTTATTTCCTTTGAGGCTCATTTTCTCAAGCCTTTATTGATGCCAGCTGGCCACTACTCATTCTACAGAATTGTTATCAAGTGGGGAAAGTTTTTGTTCCTAAAATGAAAATTAAAATATTGGTTTTTCATAGTGTAAAAAGGCTACATGCTAATTGTAATATATTAATATATACTCTTACAAACTGTGAAGAAGAAAGTGAAAATCATCTTAAATCACATACTCCAGCTATCATATTCACTAAAATACTGGTCACCACTTTTCTACACAGTTAAACAGTTTCATATAAGTGGCTTTATAGGATATTGTTCTGGAAGCCTCTACTTCACCTAACACATTTTTCCATGTCAAGAGTAGAACTACATAATCATTGTAATCGTTTAATCATTTAAAAAAATATTTATCTGTCAAGAGTTAGCCAGTTACCTATTGATAGTTATTTAGATAAGTTCCAGTTGTTTAATGTTATATAAAATATGACAGTAAAAGTTCTGGGGCAGACATTTTTGAACACTTACATGACTTTATTTCTTCTTAGGATGAATTTATAGAAGTGGATGAATAGTCAATAGATGTACACAGTTATAACTTTAATATACTCCAAGAGTGTATGAGAATCTCCATTTTCTTGCTTTATTAAAACACTCTTCAAAATTTTTAATGGGAATGGGAACTTGACCCTGAGATGATGGCGATAATGAGCTTGTCTCTCCTTTCATATTTGATGTTTCCTTGTGTGATGATGCCTGGTATACATAGCGCTTTGCTTTGAAATTTTTTCAGATAAACTGACAACCAAACCATTTATTTAAAAGAGTTAAAATTTATTTTATTCCTTGGTGCGCCTTCTCCCCCCATAATTCTCTAGTGACGTCTATCAATAAAGGTAAGAAAATGACGCATGTCTAAGGTATTTTTAATGCTGACAATCAAGATATTAGTTTTAAATCACCCATACTTATGCTACATGATGTGCCAAGTTATTTTTATCTCTGAGAACAATAAAGGCAAAAGTGCTCAACTAGCTAGGAAAAAAGAATGTTTAGACTTTTTCCTGGAATGCAATTTGCAAATATTCTGCAATATCTTTGTTGTCTGAGAACTTTTGTACACCGGTCATGAGAATTTTTGTAGTTATAAATTAAAATGATAAATTCTAAGTGCTGTGATAACATCTTGCTACTAAAATGCCCTCTTTAAAAGTTTTAAACAACCTAAAACATTTTATTTTAAAGGTTAATTTAAAAGACTTTATATTTGAAAATTATATATATATATATATAATTCATATATATATATATATTCTCAAATTCTTCTTTGGGAATTTACCATTTCCAAATATAGCTTTAGTAATAGGCAGTGGTAGCTTTAAGAGCTGGGGACTTTTAGCTGAGAAACAAGAAAGCTGATCCTTCTGTCCTCAGTTATTCAATTGTGAGATGTTCAGAAGATGTTTAGGAAGGTGAATTTGGGAAAGATTTTAAAGAACTTTCACTTTTGTCTTGATTGCCTTGCTGAGTTGTAAATTAATAAACTATTTAATAATAATTAAATAAAGTCTTTTACTGATGATATTTCATTCTAGTGTAACGATCCTTTATAAATATTGTGACAGCTTTAAAATGCAAATAAGAGTGCAATCTGTTTTCAAAATATCTACTTTTCTTAAACAAAAATCTGATTAAAAGTAGGAAGAAAACATGAGGACTTTCTGTGTGTATGTTTTTATGCCTTTTTATTGCACAGGTGTAATTATTCAAACTTGTGGGTATAATTATCTGTTAATATTTTGTTTGCTTTATTTCTAAATTAAAGTCTTTATGCTTCTGCAATTATGCAAAACATGGCAAATCACAAATTGTCAATATGCTATAATATAACATTAACAAATTCGTGGGTTTTAGTTATTTTATATACCTTTCAAAGGTGGTGTTCCACTTTTAGACATGGAACCTATAATTATCTTCCTTTCCAAGAAGAAATCTGCATCTTTCTATTCTGTTAGCTCTGTTAATGAAAGGAGGTGGAGTATTGGTTTTAACTAGTCCAATGCTGATTTCGAGTGATGGTTTTTTAGAAGTCAGGTTCTGGACTCAGGTGTAGCTTGTTGGCACTCATTGCTAAAACATGTTTTTAAATTACAGGCCTGCCTTTATTGAGCACTTACTCTACACCAATTACTGTGCTTTAGCAACTTCTTCTTTGACTTTATTTAATCCTCACACAACAAGAAAATGTATTATTTTTACTATTTTTATAGATTATGAACCTGAAACTGAGGGTTAATTAATAAGCTCATAGTCGCATAACAAGTAGGTGACAAAAATCAGACTTCAATACCCCAACTCCTAAGTGTTCTTTCAGTCAGCCTGGGATGCTACGATGAATCAATAACTCCAAAAAAAAAAACAGATGCTGGAGAGGAGAGGATGCAGGGAAATGGGAACACATCTGCGCTGTTGGTGGGAATGTAAACTAGTATAACCTTTGTGGAAATCAGTGTGGCGATTCCTAAAAGATCTAAAAATCGATCTCCCATACAACCCAGAAATCTCCCTTCTGGGAATATACTTGGAGGAACTTAAATCACTCTTTTTAAAAAATTTTATTTATTTATTTATTTATTTATTTTTGAGTTGGAGTCTCACTCGGTTGCCCAGACTGGAGTGCAGTGGCTGCTCTCGGCCACTGCAGCCTCGACCTGCTGGGCTCCAGTGATCCTTCCGCCTCAGCCTTCCGAGTAGCTGGAATTACAGGCATGCGCTACCACACGCAGCTGATTTTTTTATTTATTGTAGAGATGAGGTCTCGCTGCCCAGGTGGGTCTCGAACCCGCGAGCTCAGGCAATCCACTCACTTCAGCCTCCCAAAGGCGCGGGATTACAGGCTGAGCCACCGAGCCTGGCTATAAATCACTCTTTAAAAGAGATGCCTAAACATGCATGTTTACTGCAACATTATTGACAATAGCAAAAACATGGAACCAACCACGCTGCTTATCAAAATTGGACTGGATTTTTTAAATGTGGTAAATATACATAATGAAATATTACGCAGCCATAAAGGACAAAATTATGAACTTTGCAGCAACTGGGATGCACTTAGAGTCTATAATACTGAGTGATCTATCACAGAAATAAAGAAGAGTACCACATGTTCTCACTCATAAGCAGATCCTGAACAATTATCATAATGCTATAAGAAAGAGATTGGCAGTAGTGGGAAACTGCCGGGGAGAGGGGTACACTTCATCAATAAGGGTACCTGATCTCAAACCGGGTGAAGTGGGGACCAAAGGGAGGTCCCAACTTTACCTGTACATGACCATCTGTAAACCTAACCTTGAATTGTACACCACATCTTCAAAATAAAAATAAACAAATAAAAATAAACCGAAAAGAAAAGAAAAGAAAATACCAGAGACTGTGTGGCTGAAACAAAATGCATTATTTCTCACACTTTTGGAGACTGGAAGTCTAAGAGAGAGGTGCTGGCAGATTCAGTGCTTCATGAGAGCTCTCTTTCTGGTTTGTGGATGTACTGCTTCCTCTACATGATTTCCTCACATGGTGCACAGGGAGGAAGTTATCATCCCTCTTTCTCTTCTTATAAGGACACTAATCAATTCCATCATGGGGAACCCACCCCTATGATCTCATCTAAACCTAATTACCTACCAAAGGCCCACTTCAAATATCATTGCCTTGAGGGTTAAGGCTTCAGGACATAGATTGACAGGGAGGGGAACACAGACATTCCATTCATAATAGGCACTAATCAGTGAGTTATACTCCCATGCTTCATTTGCTTATTTAGTTATTCATTCAGTAGATACTTATTAAGTACCTATTATGTACTAGGGATTGTGAACACAGTAATGAAAAAATACACACCTGGTTG